ATGTTTTACCTATCAAATTATAAAAGGCATGAATGTAGTATTAATTGCTGACTGTCACATAGTGGTTAAGAGAACCATGTAAAGAGCCAGAGTGCTTAGTTCAAGTCCCTGCTTTCCCGTTTACTGGGTGACTTAACTCAAAAATTTACTTATATTGCCTTGCCTCAGTTTTCTCATTCATAAAACTTGAGTAATGATAGTCCATGCTTTTTAAAGTTATGAGGTTGATCATGTAATGCCAGCATGATGCCTAGCATTTGTAAGTACGATGATGTTGTTTAAACACAGGTTTAAAAGCAATAAAGTGAGTGCTCGTGGCAACTCTGAAATTGCTACAACCATTTAGGAATATAATTTGGCAATATAAATAGCCCTTAAAATGTTCATAATTGTTGACCATTAATTGTACTTCTAAGACTCCAGCACGATTGAGTAATCAGAGATGAACACAAGGGTTTATTCAAAAAGATGTTCATTGCAGCATCAGTAACAATGGAAAAAATTGAAGCACCCTAGTCATTTTTATTATTTTTATTATTATTAAGTAGAAAATGAAAAAGAGTTTAAAAATCATCTGACATACCTGATCTGGATAAATAAGATCTCAGTGGTGAAGAAAATTGACAAGACAATTTTAGGAATTCATTTAGCCAGGAGTAACCTGTGGAAGGAGAGGAATATGTCTGTACTTTCACTGCAATAGAAATTCAAATGCCTGTCATCCCAATACCCTAGCTCCTTCTTTCCCATCAAAATTGCACATCTAGTCCCTTGAGAGACTCCTACAAAACACCACGATTCAAGTTTGGCTATGATAGAACAAACACCAATGTAAAATTTTAATTTGGCAAATGTATCAAGAATCTTAACAATAGCACTGATCTTACATCAAGGATTCTCCTTCTAGAATGCTATCATAAGAAAATACCCTGAAATGCAGTTTTTGTATACAATGCTATTTATAATATTGAGAACAAGAAACAATCCAAATATTTAATAATAGTACATTGGTTTAAAAATATGAGAATATTAATATGATAGACTATTAATGCAATAATTTAAAGGATGTTTATTATTTTTTAATAACATGGGGAAATATTTATGCTATAATGTCAAACAAAACAATTAAGATGCAAAATTAGATATATTGTTTAATACCAGTAGTGTATAGAAAAGGATGAATAAAAATGCTAAAGAGAAAAATATAATATATTCAGCAAATAATTATCATACAGATACAGTTTTGTGCCACTTTTCTATCAACTTATACACCGTATGAATCAATTATGTAAAATATTTTAGGGAGAGGGAGACAGATTAAGGAAATCTGACAAGAGAGAGTTTTCTGGTTTCTTCTATTAAAAGATAAAGTAATGTATATTAAAATTTTTAAGAGTTTATTTGAGCAAAAATCAGTTAGAATCAGGCAGCACCAAGCCAGAAGTGGTTAGGAGCACTCCACCAACAGGAACCAGAGGAAAGGCAATATTATATAGAGAAAGTGTGGCAGCAAAGACAAGAAATGATTTGATTGGTTATAGCTTAAAGCTGAGTTGGCTGTGATTGGTTTTCCTTAGTGTTTTGATTTTGGAACCTTGAAGCATTTCCAGGCTTAAGTTTTGCTTTGCTTANTATTTTATTCTTTTTGTTGCAATTGCAAAAGGAATTATTTTTTATTTCTTTTCCCGAAATGTCATTGTTAGTATATAGGAACACAGTGGGTTTTTGTACATTTATTTTGTATCCTGCAAGTTTACTGTATTTGTTTATTGTTTCTAATACGTTTTGGTAAAGCCTTTTGGATTTTCTACATAAAGAATCATGTTGCAAAAAGTGACCATTTTACTTCTTCATTCCAAATTTGGATGCCTTTTATTAAAGAACAGCTAAGTCAAAGAAGAAGTAAAAGGATAGATTAAATGATACATAGAGACAAATGTGAATGACAATACAACATATCAAAACTTTTGGGATGCAATGAAAGCTGTAATAAGAGGGAAGTTTACATCACTCCAGGCCTATCTCAAGAAGCAAGAAAAATCCCAAATAAACAGCCTAACATTACATCTTAAACAGCTAAAAAAGAACAATAGAGGAAGCCCAATGTCAGCAGAAGGAAGGAAATAATAAAAATTAGAGCCAAATTAAATAAAACAGAGAACAAAGAGACAATAGAAAAAAATTAATGCCACAAAGAGCTGGTTCTTTGAAAAGATTAATAAAATTGATAAACCTCAGAAATACAAAGGATCATACAATAATACTAAGAAAGACTATTTGCCACCTAATTTAATAACCTAGAAGAAATGGACAAGTTCTTAGACATATATAACCTTCCTAGACTGAATCACAAAGAACTGGAAAATCTAAATAGACTGATCAACAGTAAGGAAATTGAAACAATCATCAAAAACCTCCCAAAAGTAAAAGTCTAGGACCAGATGGCTTCACTTGTGAATTCTACCAAACATCCAAAGAAGATTAAAACTTATCTTTCTCAAACTCTTTCAAAAAATTGAGGAAGAAACAATACTTCCTAATACATTTTATGAGGCCAATATCACCTTGATACCAAAACCTAACAAGGATAACACACACAAAAAAGAAAACTACAGACCAATATCGCTGATGAATACAGATGGAAATATCCTAAACAAAATTCTAGCAAATTGAGTACAACAATACATCACATATCAAGTGAGGTTCATTCCAGGGTTGCAAGGGTGGTTCAATATATGCAAATAGGTCAATGTGATACACGACATTCACAAAATAAAGGATAAAAATCATATCAATAGATGCATAATATGCATTTGACAAAACATGCATTTATGATTAAAACACTCTCTGAGCCCTTTGAGCATTTTGAGGCTTGCCTTTGCTTGGGGCCTGCTCCAAACTCTTATGAGTGTACTTTTTCTCCTAATAATGATGCCCTTGGCCCTGGCCCTTGCCCTTGGCCCCTTGGGCCTTTGAGTTTCTATTTTTTTTTGTTTGTTTTCTTGAGTGTACTTTTTCTTCTAATAAACTGCTCTTTCACCACTTAAAAAAAAGAATAAAAGAAAGAAAAAAAAANGTAATGATAGTCCATGCTTTTTAAAGTTATGAGGTTGATCATGTAATGCCAGCATGATGCCTAGCATTTGTAAGTACGATGATGTTGTTTAAACACAGGTTTAAAAGCAATAAAGTGAGTGCTCGTGGCAACTCTGAAATTGCTACAACCATTTAGGAATATAATTTGGCAATATAAATAGCCCTTAAAATGTTCATAATTGTTGACCATTAATTGTACTTCTAAGACTCCAGCACGATTGAGTAATCAGAGATGAACACAAGGGTTTATTCAAAAAGATGTTCATTGCAGCATCAGTAACAATGGAAAAAATTGAAGCACCCTAGTCATTTTTATTATTTTTATTATTATTAAGTAGAAAATGAAAAAGAGTTTTAAAATCATCTGACATACCTGATCTGGATAAATAAGATCTCAGTGGTGAAGAAAATTGACAAGACAATTTTAGGAATTCATTTAGCCAGGAGTAACCTGTGGAAGGAGAGGAATATGTCTGTACTTTCACTGCAATAGAAATTCAAATGCCTGTCATCCCAATACCCTAGCTCTTTCTTTCCCATCAAAATTGCACATCTAGTCCCTTGAGAGACTCCTACAAAACACCACGATTCAAGTTTGGCTATGATAGAACAAACACCAATGTAAAATTTTAATTTGGCAAATGTATCAAGAATCTTAACAATGGCACTGATCTTACATCAAGGATTTTCCTTCTAGAATGCTATCATAAGAAAATACCCTGAAATGCAGTTTTTGTATACAATGCTATTTATAATATTGAGAACAAGAAACAATCCAAATATTTAATAATAGTACATTGGTTTAAAAATATGAGAATATTAATATGATAGACTATTAATGCAATAATTTAAAGGATGTTTATTATTTTTTAATAACATGGGGAAATATTTATGCTATAATGTCAAACAAAACAATTAAGATGCAAAATTAGATATATTGTTTAATACCAGTAGTGTATAGAAAAGGATGAATAAAAATGCTAAAGAGAAAAATATAATATATTCAGCAAATAATTATCATACAGATACAGTTTTGTGCCACTTTTCTATCAACTTATACACCGTATGAATCAATTATGTAAAATATTTTAGGGAGAGGGAGACAGATTAAGGAAATCTGACAAGAGAGAGTTTTCTGGTTTCTTCTATTAAAAGATAAAGTAATGTATATTAAAATTTTTAAGAGTTTATTTGAGCAAAAATCAGTTAGAATCAGGCAGCACCAAGCCAGAAGTGGTTAGGAGCACTCCACCAACAGGAACCAGAGGAAAGGCAATATTATATAGAGAAAGTGTGGCAGCAAAGACAAGAAATGATTTGATTGGTTATAGCTTAAAGCTGAGTTGGCTGTGATTGGTTTTCCTTAGTGTTTTGATTTTGGAACCTTGAAGCATTTCCAGGCTTAAGTTTTGCTTTGCTTACGGTAAGCTGCCATGGCATTAGAGCCATCTTAGTCTAATGACCCCCTTGTTTAATGAACATTTCTTTATTCTTTTCTATATTTTCCACATGTTCTACAGTAACCATGAGTTGCTTTTATAATTAAAAATATAGTAACCATTTAAATAACTACACCTGGAAATGCTTTTTCTCTGGTGTCTCAGAAGGATATACCTCACTGCCATCATACTTGGGCACATAGTGAATCCCAGACCAAGTGATGAGCCCCAGGTAGCATTATGGCTAAGCAGTATGGAAGCAGGCAGGATGATCAGATAGATCCATGAGGTAAGCCTTCTCTACAGACGTCGTTATAATTTCATTTCCTTTTATTTAAAAGACAAAAATAATTTTATAGGTAACTAGGAACAACAGCAATCTGGAAGGCTGAAAGAATTTGGAGGGTTGCAGATTTACAGTCGGTATTTAAGATAACATGGAATCTTTTTCTGATTTCACTCCAGTATTGCTCGAAAATGTTGGAGAAGAACTAGATCCCATCCTGGAACCACTTCTGCTAAAACAGACCTTTAAGCAGAGTGGAAGTACATGTATCCGACTTGGGGATGCTATCATTGAATATGCACCAGACTTCCGCTTCTATATTACCACCAAGCTAAGAAATCCTCATTATCTTCCTGAAACTTCAGTAAAGGCCAGTATCTAAAATGAATATTTCTTCATCACATTTTACAATTAATGACCATGTTTTCCTCCTGAGCCATAAGGACAGGTCTTCCTAAGAAAAATGGATTTTGTTTTTGTTTGGCATTTCCTGAAATTGCTATGATAATTTCCAAATGTTGCTTTTGTGTGTGTGCATGTAGTAATAAAGGCACTTTTGGTATGCAGTGAAAAAAGACCATGAGAATCTAATTTCTACAACTGATATTATTCTTAGATTTTCCTTATTAAAAATAGGTGGCATATATGCACATTCTTTCTTTGCAATAAATGATAATATGCTAATTCTTGGAATTGGAATTCAGGAAGAGAAATTCATCATTCTTCTTTCTCAGAATAAGGTTGTCGCTATCTGATTTTATATAATTACTTAAAAGAACTGTTTTCGATCACTGGTTCCTTAGAAATACTAAAAAATTTCTTCAAAGAGTAAATAAAGTTAGTTTAAAGTTTTAGTCATTGACTTTAGACATTGATCTGGAACTGAGCTCCTAGAGGCTATTCCATTTTTTATTCCCAGTTCTTAACCCTGGTTGGCACTTGATAAATGTTTGTGGAATGAGGGAAAGAGGGAGAGTGGGAGAGATAGCTTTCATTTATGGAAGCTAGCAGGAGAGGACATTAAGAAATATTGATTCCAATTTCAAAAGTTACATAAAGAGACAAGATTTACCCAGGAAGTTCAAACACTGTTCTGTATTGGAAATGTTTAAATTCACATAAACATCTATCTGCGAGGCAGAAGAAGCACTGAGATGACATAATTCATTCTTTCCAGGATGAATAAACATGGTTCTTACTTTCAAGAGCTTTACATTCTAAATAATGTGTATGTAAAGTGACCATAGTTCGGACTAGAAAGACAGAGGAGCTCAGAGTTGGGGATTCACTTCAGACTGGACATTCAGGGAAACCAGGAAGACTGAGGGAAGGCGGAGTGACCCTTGAGCTTAGGTTTAAAAACACAGTGTTAAATATGGAAATTCTTGGCCACTGTTTTTAACTAATTAAAATAAATATATTACCTAAACACCTGAAAATTGTTATTAATTTGCCTATTAGGAGAGGCAGTATCTAGTAGTAACTAACAGCATGGTATCTGGAGTCAGACTACCTTGGCTCAAATCCCAGATGTATCATTTGCCAATTTTGTGACTTTGGCCATCTTATTTAACCTCTCTGTGCTGCAATTCCCTTGTCTATAGAATGGAAATAAATAAATGTCTATCTCATGAGTGACATAAAGACAAAATAAATTGATCTATGTAAAATGCTTAGGATAAGGCCCAGCACAGTCTTATATGAGTATTAATTATTAGCATTATTAACTTTTAAATGTAAGTAAGAAAAAATGAAGTGTTAAAAAAAATGATAAAATCCCAAAGCTGTGGTATAAAAAAAATTTGTAAATGACGTAGAAAAGCTTTTTTACTTTTCAGTAAAATTTATGAAAATATCACACACAAATACCATTAGCAATTTTAGTTGACTAATAACTAGCTGTAATAGAAGTCATAAAACCCTGTGGGGAGGAAACTGATCTATGATTCACTATCGAGATCCTTAAGATCCCTAGAGTGTCTTATTGCTTCATTATTTTTAATTGCTGGGATTGATTAAACAGAGATTAGAAAACATACTGAAGCAGTTACTTGCTTTCATTACAAATTAAACTACTTCCTCTGAATCCTATTTTTACAATCTTTTATGTACCTTTTGCTTTTAAAAGCACCCAACGGATGATACTATGCTGCTGTAATTCTTTCAAATCTAAATGAAAATATTGTGAAGCCATGTTTGCATGATTTTAACTGTTTATTTGTGAGCTAGCAGCTAGATTTGTAAAATCTTGACCTCAAAAGATCCAACATTAATGGACGATGAATGAACACCTCCTTGTGTCTGAACACAACGAGGTAAA